GTGATGATGAAGATTGCACTCAAGTTATTCTTGCAGAATTGTTAGCTTTACAAATATTTAACCTTCCCCCTCCACTCAAAAATGTGTTTTGCTTCTTGTTGCTTCACTTGGATGTGTGAGCTTCACTGTGCAGAGTGATGTCTGTGTGCAGGGTTTGACACTTACAGGGTGGTGGAGGAAATATTCTCTTTGCTCACCTTCAATCTGAGACTAATTGTGGTCCAAAAGGAAACTTCATAAAAAGGCAGGCTGTTCTCATCCAGCACTTCGTAGCGAAACAGACGGAAAATAATGAGCTGCGATTCGCACAACAATGTAAACAAAAAAACAATCTGTCACTCAGGAGACCGCTGTTCGCTCCCCGTGTGAAGCGAGAAGTCAACGTTGGTTTATTTGTCACGTAACTTGCGTACTTCAGTAACGACACTTCCGTAGTTATTGTAACCAAAACTTTTTTCCTAAACCTAACTAAGTAGTTCAGGATCTTTTCCTAAACGTAATCAAGTTGTTTCCTGTGAAGACGGAAGTGTATTTTGAAATGACGAGTGGAAATTGACACGTGTTGCTCGACTTTCGTACGAAAACTTTTTGTCAGATATCATACATTCATCGTTCATTTAGGAAACTATTTACGTATTCATAGATTTTGGATGTTTCAATGAGGGAATTTTAAGAACGTGTGGAAAAACGACTTTTTCTTCTTCTTAGTATTTTTGTGTCTTTAAACCTAGCTGGAGGGGATCTTTCAATACAATTCTACAACTATTCAACAGCTTGTGGAACTGCATGTTCTTGACTCTCAGGACACATCTGACTCCCATAAGTCGCCTTACTGTTCTCTCAGTGAGGTTTGGCTCAGTGCCGCGGATCAGACATGCATTAACACACTCCCACTGACCGTCCTTTGTTGCCGGCAGTAACTGAGGATAGCGATCTCTCTCTCTCTTGCGGGAGGAAAACCGCCTTGACGGAGCACAGGAGTGAAGTGTGCGTCCCGCATGTGAGCGCATCGCTGGTATGTGTGCGTCATTGTTCACGTACTTCTTGTTTTGACATAAAAGGTTGATGGATCCTGACAAAGGATCACGCTGCTATTGTTGCAGCCCTGACGGGAAGATGAAGAGGAAAGACTTGGCGAGTGACGCCTTATAACGATGTACTGCATGTGAAACGATCATTTGGAATGTTGTGACTAAAATCTGGAAAAACCAACCGGATGTGAACAAATGATGGGAGTAGAAACACACCTTTTGAGGTTGGGTGACAGGATTGACGAGCCTCGTTTCGTGTAGTGTTATCAGGTGGTTGAGTGCAGCAGGTTGTTTGTGTGCAGAGATGGACAGATGTTGTTTTGTTGGCAATGACGTCGGTCGATGACTCACCCTTCCACAACTGAATTATTGATAAAGTGCCCTAAATACCAAAGCTATGCCCCCTCCCCTCCCCAGCTTGTGATCAGCCACTCGTTAGCCTTTTTAATAAAGAAGGCCGAAGGGGGGTCGCTGATTTACATTCCTCATCTGGGTCAGGTGACTGATGTCGCTGAGCCCCTCGAGGCTGTGACCCCCCTCCCATCCAGCCACACCATCAACATGAGAAAACTGTCACATGGCTGCTTTGACCTCTTGTTTACTTTACACCTGACTGAATCCTGTTTGATCAGGTGGCACTTTTGTTTTTTTTTTTGCTTGCTTCTTTCTCAGAATCCTTGTTGTGAAGTGTTTTTCTGTTATTGTGTCGGAGCAGATTTGCTCAGTTGCTCTCTGTTTAAATGTACATTTTGAGCACGCTGTTCACAGTTTAGACTGTAAAACCCGTATTTACGTCGAAGTGGCAGCCGCCAGTGTAGGTTCAGCGATCCTCTTTATAATACTGCTGAGCGTAGTAACTCGAGGCTTGCGATAAGCCCAATAAGTTAAAATTACCGGGTTGGTTTCATACTGGTTTAGAGGAGCTCGTCTTTATCCGGGGCGGAGCGGGGGAGGGGTGGCCTCCGAGGCTCAAGCCTCAAATGTATGACATGTTGAAATTATTGTACAAACTAGTGTTTATTTTGCCAGATATGTTTTTTTTTATTTAGTTAAAGGCCACTCACCATTTGTTTTTATGTTGTGCGAAACTCAAACTGTTGTTACTCGTCGAAAGAATCGCTGTGATTTTTGCAGGCGAGTATTTTGCAAAATATCCCCTCTTCTCTTTCTCTCCTGTTGTCATTGTTAACTTTGACTTTCATAAGTTAACCCGAGTCCTCCTGGCTGATCATTGTTTTTCTGCCGGTGTCGTCCGAATATGGTTGCACACTAAAATATTTTGTCTCCTCTTAAACTTCATTTTAGTCGTCTTTCTTCATCAACAAAATTGCAAGTTGATATAGTCACAGTTAAGCGCCGTTGGTGCCGTCTCGTCATCGCCTCGTCTTCGTCTGTACGCCGGTACAAATACAGTACTCACCGTACAGCTGTTCGGTCTGATGGTACCTTAACAGCAGGAAACAAAGAGTTAGGATCTGCAATCTGAGGGATGTACTGAGCTGGAGTTCAGTCTGGTGTTACCGAGGCCTTGTCACTCATTGGTTCATTGTGTTCAGTTCGGCAGCTGATTGTGCTGCATTTTTCTGTCGCTCCTTCTCTGGGACAGAAAGATCGCAGCACTCCTGCCTGAACAAGAGGAACCGTATCCTTCTGTTGAAAGACTTGGATTTGGAGTTTCAAAAGATCTGCGTGGTCATTATGAAACCTGCTGTGAGAGCACTGGCAAGATCCAGTTTAATTGGACCTCACCTGGGATCACCTGAATCACATGCTTGAATGATTTCTTCGGTCAAAGAAGCCAAAGTGGCCAAGAGCGAGATCCAAATGACGCTACTTGATTCCCACAGATGACGTTGAGTCGGTGCCGGGGAACTTTTCTGTTTTAATAAGTCCTTTAATTTAGTAGAATGAATATGAGTATGAAAGTTCACATTGTTTGTTACAGCACCCAGCAGCACCTTCAGATACCACACATGGTCTCAGGTTTACTGTTGATGATTTGAATATCAGTTTCTGTGTTGAGTTTCTAAACAGCTGCAAGGAAATCTTTTGGGTGCTTTAAGGTGAATTCATCTTTCAAAATCTCCAGTGATCGTAAAAAAAGTGCTTTTACCTCAGCAATGGAAGAGAGTTTTTGACAGGAATCATCTTGGATTCGCAGGAATCCCTTTGAGGGGAACAAAAGAGCAATAACAGCTCAGCAATTATGAATATAGGCTGTTCTAAATAATAATAATACACTTTATTTATATAGCACTTTTCAAAACAAAGGTTGCAAAGTGCTTTACCGGATAGAAGAGGCTGACAGGCAATAATTCAAATAATTTAAAATAGTTTAAATGTTACACGACATTGAGCAAAGAAGCGACATATGAGGAAAGAAAGGGAGCAGATATCTCTCAACCCAACTCATTTTGAACCAAAACCTAAAAAACACTTTACTGGGTAACACACACATTGAGTAAAAACAGAAAAGAGTCCGTCGTCCCTAAATAAACCAGAATCTACTCTGCTTCAGCGGATATTTTTCAGTTTCGGCTCCACAGCTGTGAGGCTGGTTTAGTCTTTGCTGTGGTTTCTACGTACGCGACAGGAAGTAGTCGATTTCTCACCACACTCTTTCGGGGTAGCTGAGGCGCATCTACGTCAAAGACTCCTGCGGTTTCCTTCAACCTACCACACGAACAAAATGGAGGTCAGATTACAGTGAAATTAGCTGAGTTGCCAATTTCTTTTTTTTCTCCCCCTTCAGCCTCCTTCCAGATAATTTGATGTCATGTGCGAAAGTAGCTGCTGTGAGACATAATGGATGACATCGTAAACACAAAGCTTTGTAACAAGGAAACGGGAGCTAAACGCTAACAGGGAGAGGCAGAGAGAGATCAATTACATCAGTGTTGCATGTGAAAAGCAGATCTAATCAGCTCATTCAAAGGGTGGGGGGGGTCATACCAATCATAGCCTTGGTAACTTAAAGGGGGCCACTGTGTCCTCATTGTGATTTACAGAATAACAGCCCGAGGGACAAGGTGTGACCCGCAGACTCCGCCTGTTCTCTTCACACTGACCTACTTCTGACGGGCAAGTGAAGACTAAACCCGTCTCAGGGTGGACACCCAGAAAAAGTCTGTCACATTAGAAGTGTTATGTAACACAAGCAGGCCCGCTTCTCAGAAACGCAAGGTTGTGCCGGCACAAGAGAGCTAGATAGGGAATATAAACACTGCGTCTGCACACGTGCGAGATTATCTCAGAGCTGGACAGATAGCTGTGAAAAGATTGTGCCGCCTATGAGTTTTGGATGTTGATTGCTGATATTAGAGTTTAAGATAAGCTTTTATAAGCATAACATTGGACTCTTCATACTATACTAAGAGCACAGTAAACAGTCAATCTAAGCATTTCAATGATTTAAACTCCTGATATCCACCACGTCTGGGGGTGAAGCGGATTTGTGACTTTAAATTGTGAAGACGATAGAATCTTTTTCTAAAATCTGTGCAAGCAGAAAGATGTCTTCGTGGTTAAAACATGATTCCAGATATTTTAAGTGATGACTTATCTGTAAAAAAAAATTTTAAGAATCAAGCCTCATAGGGAGCTCAGGAGACATTGAGACGGGTGTTTTTAAGTCAGCGTGACACCTTCAAAGTGCTGGTTCTTTGCCCATCAGTCCAACATCCAAAGATAATTAGTTTACAATATGAAGCAGTAACCAAGTGTTCAGCAATTTCTCTTGTTACCTCAATTGCCAATGATTTCGGTCAACTACTTACTTCAGCAGTAAAGAGCAATCCATTACAGTTAATGATAGAAGCACTAAACTGTCCGGTTGTTAACACTACCTGAATTATCTTTAAGATAGTTTAAAATATTTTGCTTTTGTGTGCATACTTATGGGAGACATCGAATAAACACCATTAGATGAACTGTATAAGCACCTGCAATGACTGAAACGAAGAGACAAGATGCAATGCAAAAAGTTTTTTAATGCAGTAATTAAGACTACAAGGAGAGCGTCAACAAATTAGAAGAAAGCGTCTTTACATGTGGACATACAGTGACTCTGAAGCAGAACACACAAATAAATAAAAAGGTTATATTTAAATGGTCAGGGGCCCCCCCCCCTATTCATTTACAGAAATACTGGGTTCCACCCACGTGTCTTCTTGGAACAGCGGGTGAAAGATTTGTTAGCAATCTTAAATCCTCTGCAGTAATTAATTGGTGCCAAAATAAGCTGTCATGAACTCCATCTCCCACAAATCAATGCAGGATCGCCAATGATACAGACCTGCTGTAATAGATTATGTGCTTAACTTTTAGCCTATACACACACACACACGAGCAGAGTCGGTGGTGTCCTATGTTGCCATGAAGCATCGTGTGCTTATCTGTAGTTATTGAACACTACACATGAGCTCTTATATATGTGCATTTATATATATTTTAACTTATTGGGCTGGATGGTTGATTCAGATAAGCTGGGGGAAGAGTTCATTAGCGAACATGTCGTCCCAGGTGCTTTCTGAGCAGAGGGGCGAGGACATGTCGCTGAAAGGGGACAGGGACCCTTCGTATCCAGAGTCGCTGTATGTGTCCGCAAGACAGGCTTCCTTATCCAGGCCGCCGAGGGCCGCGGGGGAGATGTCGGCGAAAAAGTCATCCAGCGGACTGTGAGCGTCACAGCCGGGGATGACCACCTCCTCCGGCTCGTCTTTCACGCAGACGGTCTCCTCCTCGACCACCACGTCGTCGTCGTCTGTGACGGGGAAGTCGGTGACCTCGTCGCTCTCCTCCTCCGTGTCGCTCTCCGTGTCATCGCGCTGCCCGCCAGCGCCCACCTCCTCCACGGGCTTCGTGTAGATGTGGTCAAAGTGGATCAGTTCATTAAGGGCCTCCAGCTTAACTGATGGGGCCCCCAGAGGTGCAGGTGCGGTGGCAGGTACTGTGTCCCCCCCTCCGACCAGCAGCACCTGCGGCTCCGGGCACTCCTGTTCACAGGACTTGAGGAACAGCTCTGGGTCAAGGATGTCCAGAATGCCCATGAGCAAATCAGACTAGTGGGGGGGGGGGGGGGAGAAACAGGAGATTAACCTACTAACCCATGACCTCACGCCAGTGTTATTACAGAGCTTTGGAAACAGGATTTTAATCTCAGACGCATCTTTTCATTTTTATCAGAGACTTACCTCATTGTCTGTAGTGTCAGGACCATCTGTATCCATTGAGAAGTCTTCAGATTTGGGGACTGCTGGGCCTGCACCTGCTGCGGAGGCACACGTAGCCTGAGTGCTGCGGACTCAGAAGACCCGATCCCTAAACCTGCGTCGTTCCCGGTGGACAACAAAACCTGAACCTGTGATATAAAAGAACGGGAAAGGGGGGTGAATTAAGGTCGCGCCACTCTGAAGAGCAGACTTTCACCAGAAGTCAACCCGACTCCCGCCTCCCTCTCTGCTGTCCGCAACACAAACGTACCGTCTCTTTTGAGTCGAGGGTGTCCAACCCAAGTCTCTGTCTCAGTTCCTCGTTTTCTGTCAGTAGGCCACTCGATTTTTCCCGAAGTAGCCTGTTTTCAATGTGAAGTTTTTGGTTCTGCGGGACGAAAAACAAAACAGATGTTCACACCTGAAACTTTAACGGTTTATGGGGGAAGTGATGCATGAAGGGCACGAAACCAAAACTAGAAATGAAACTGCACCAAATAAAGTGGGTCGGGTGTTAAATGTCTTAAGATGATTTAAATAAAAATAAATTACCTCCAGCTCCATCTCCAGGACTTGCTGTTCCAGCTCACCCATTTTGGCCTTTTTCCTGTCTCTGGCTGTCTGAGCTGCGACTCTGTTCTTGAGTTTCCTTGGAGGGGGAAGAAGAGAAAAAAAAGAAAAACAGGAATTTAGCACACAGTCCTTCTGTGACGCTGACTAAGCCCCCTGACATGGACTTGGAGTGCACAGTACTGCGCAATCACCGGCCATGTTTCCTTGCCACGCAGGCATACCAGGATATCAGTATCCTGCTCTGCAACAGTCAAATCACTCCGATAAGCACTTTGACAAGCTTAACCAGAGTCCAAAAGGCGACGCAATAACGACGTTTAAGTCAAATGGACAGATTTAAACTGTTTATATGACCTCTTTGTGATATTAAGAGATGCAACAGTGACGCAATTCTTCTTTTTTTTTTACTGAGATTTAAATGGCAAATCCAAAGGGGATCAATATCGTTGGGCGTGTCCCTGTAGCAACTCGTTTAACATTAATAAGAGTTTTACCCCCGTAAATAATGACACATGACTATTATTGTATTTTGTGAGAGACTAACCTGCGAAGAGCCTTCTCCTCCGGACTCAGGTGTGTGAGCCTCTGTCTCTTCCGTATGGGCGGCCCGGCGGAGCAGTTGGACTCCGAGTCCGACGACGCCGGGCTGGACGAGGGTAAGACGACGGAGATGGGCCGGTTGTAGCCCGTCTGTTTCCCGGATATCAAGAGCACTTTATGGGGCCCCGCGGTCCCGGCTGTTACCACCACCATTGTTGTTGCTGTATATCCTCCTCGGCGGCGTCTGAAATAATAATCGGGTATCCTTTAATGAAATCAGAAGAAACCTGAAGGCTTCCCCTGGTCAAACCCGATGGCCGGTAATTCTCAACTGTTCTACAAGACGGACTGCGCCTGCGATCTTTTTCTACTGTCGTGGTGATAGCTGATAGGCTACCAGCGGCTATGACGCAACTTGTTTACGACCTGTGATTGGTCGCCGTGCTGATAAAATCTGCATTTGAAGTTTCAGTCAAAATGAAAAACCCCGTAGTACCTTGGAAGTGTTGTTTCTTATCAAGACTAGATGTCAATTTCTGTTTCAACATGTCATTTCAAACATTTTATTATATTCTATTCTACCGGTACGGGACCGTGTGAGCGGACTTGACTGTTTGATGGAGTAAACTGGGATTTCAGTGTATTCTCAGGTCCTTGTTTCCAGGAGTTGCATCAGATTTGAGCCACACAGACTTCATCACATACACTAAACCTGCAGTACTTTCTCTGTATTGATCGTGGAAGCTGTGTCATAGATTTGGAGTTTCCTGGAACCACCATGTCGGTCTCATTATTTAATCCGTATAATATATTTACAACCTCTTTCCTCACAAGCAGCACTTTATGGTTGTTTTAAGACAATAATAAAAATATCACATTGATGTTTTATATTTTATATCAGCTGAAGCTAATAAAATAAATGCCATGATAGCATAACAGGTCACACATTGTTTTTGGTTTTAAGTATAGGAGATATTCTTGATTTTTAAACCCTCATTGAGACATCTGATGCTCCTGCTCTTTGTCTTGGACGTTAGCATTTCCTTATTCTTTCCTTTGAAGGAGTGTAATTACACACTTAACAAGCTTTACCACTCTGATGGCTTTCCCCGAAGGGCTCATTGCATATTTCCTGTACAGGACTGTTGGAGTGATGTGTTTGTTTCTTGTCTGTGAAATGATTCCTTTAATTTTTTTTTTCCTCCACTGAAGGATGTTTCATATCTTTTTACAAAATGATTTCAATAGCATTATTATTTTATCATCAGCATATTTGAGAATTTAAAAACATAAAGCAGGACTCATGTGACCGCGCCATAGATTATTGTTCAATGTTTGCACTCTTTGATTTGTTACAGTTTGATATAACCAAATAGCAAAATAACAATTTGCTGCATTTTTGACGGAACAAAAATAAAGACGTTTCTGTTCCGTTTCAGTTCAGATTTTCATAATAATGAACTTCATATGAAGCAGGCCTCAAAGGTAGTGAAACTGTGGTTAGCTTGAGCCATGAAGAGTAAAACACAAGTTCTTTATCCGACAACACAACAAAACACATGATTGAATGAATTGATGCAATAGAGCACAGTTTACAACATTGATAACAAGACTTTGCACTACTACTACTACTACTATGAGTATGCCATCGCAATAAAACTCCTCAGGTGGCTTTAAGCATTTTGTCTACAAGCAGCTATCTATCGTTTAAGATAGAGATGTCGCCCCCCCCCGAGCCTCAGTCATAAAACTGTCAAAAAACACATTAAGCAAGCTCACAAGTGCTCTCTCTTTCTAGAACTCCTATTTGTACTCAAACAGGAATTCACATTTTTTTCTGGCCACCATTACTGTTTACGGCTTTCAGCCCTTTGGCCCCGTCGTCTCACCTCTGCAGGAGAAACGACAGGAGCCAGAGCAAACACTGGCCTGTTTGCTGAGCTTTACCGTCACGACAGAATCAACATCTAAGAGTTGCGAGAGCAGCAGTTTATGATGGTGTGTGTGTGTGTGTGTGTGTGTGTGTGTGTGTGTGTGTCACAGTGTTGTGTAGTATTCGGGAAAAAAACAGGATTTGAATGCAGGACGTCTTTTATTTGCAGCAATAGCCCAAATAGGTAAAACTCCCGGGGCCACACGAATGAAAGTTTACACTAACTTGTCACATGCTTAAAAGCAAATAATGAATTACGTGTGCCTTTAAACTTCCTCGTGAACATTTCCTATTTTTCAAGTTTCTTTATGTCACTCGAGAGAGAGCGAACAGGCGAAGATGTTTGATAGAAAACACTTCCCTCTTGCCACAGGCTGAAACGCAGTTAGTTATTTCTGACCTGGAAAGTCGGTTGGAGGATCTCCCATGATGCATGAGACAAGTGTCACATTTATCATCAGTGAAGTGACCTCCCAAATGTGTGTAGCTCTCAAGTTATGTTAAACCCCGAGTGGGATAGAGGTGTGACAACTGAAGAGTGTTCAAATCTTTCTGCAAAGTAGCCAGAGGGATTTTAACGTATACTTAAGTGCATTCTGCACAAAGCCAGTGGGCCTCTGTCACCAAACTGTAAAACATGTTCTTTTAGTTCTGACAGTGCTGAACGTTTAAAATGTAAATCACGTGTTGAGTCCACATTGTTTCAATATGTTTATAGTAAAATGTGTCAATAGACAGTGTTGGGAAAAGTATTCAAATAATTTACCTAAATAAGAGCAGTGACATCACACTATACAAATACTCAGTTTTACATTTTAGGGGATCTATTGGCAGAATTAGAAAATAATATTATCAAGTATGTTTTCTTTAGTGTATAATCACCTGAAAACACAAATTGTGTTTTCGTTACCTTAGAATGAGCCGTTTATATCCACATACGGAGCGGGTTCTCTTCAAGGAGCCGGCCACCATGTTTCTACAGGAGCCCAGAATGGACAAACGACACGCTGGCTAGATGTCGCCAGAGCCGACGCACTAGACCTTTAAGTAAAAGTACAAAAGTATTTCAGCAAAATGTATGATTTGTCTGTCTGAATGGGCCCTGTGAGTGTTACTTAATTACATTACTGGACCATTATCGTTGAAGCATTAACATGTAAACAGCACTTTAAAGTTATTGTGAGGAACTTTTTTTGTTATGAAACAGTTCCAATTTAATAATGATGCCTCCTCATGATCAACATAAGTAAACAAGACCATCAGGGAACATATATATATATATATACAAATACCTTAAAATTGTACTTAATGTACTTAGTTACATTCCACCACTGCCAGTGGACTCATACCAGTGTATTAACTTATAGAAGAGAGTGTTGTAACCACTAACTAAGACTCTGTAAGTACTTAATGGAAATCCTCTTAATACATGATGTGCTTAAATGGGTGTATCACCACAACGTTAGCACAAACAATTACCTCTCATTGAATACAGCTTGAGACAAGGAGACTCAAGACGCTCTCAGACTTTAAAGGTCCTGCCTGACTGGTTCAAATGAATGTAGAGTGCATTTGGAGAATACTTGAGCGAGACCTGGAACTACACATGCAGCGAAAAGCTTTTGCCTTGAGGAGAGCCCTTGAGCATCTTGAAACCTTTTAGTCATTAAAAAAACAACTGTTACAAATCAGAAACATCGTCACCAAATGACTACATACACAGAAACCCAGTTCTTATGTCCCTTAAAGAAGCCACAGCTGGCAGACGGTTAGCGTAGCTTAGCACAAAGCCTGAAAACAGCTAGCTTGGCTCTGTCCATTGGTAACAAAATCCGCTGAACCTCGAAAGCTCACTAACACGTTGTATCTCCTTTGTTTAAAGCCAAGAAATAGTCCGACACTTAACCAGCCGTAAAATGGCAAATTATTATTTTTACATTTGGTTATTGTTTTGCCTTTTTTTTTATGGCAATTTGGTATGTTAGCGTGAGTTCTTAAATATAAATGGGTGAGTATATAATATTGAATATTTGCTGTGTTATAAGAGTATTTATATTTTGTAATACGAGACAAGCAGATTAACGGCATTTGCATTAAATCGTTGGTTACACATCCCGGATTCAGATAATCTTCCTTGGAGGCTCTCGGAGGGATTGTGTGCACAGCTACACCGAAGTGTAGTCCGCCCTGGCTGCTCAACAGACCAACTCTGCTAAGATACACACACACACATACACACACACACACACACACACACACACACACACACACACTCACACACACGCATGTATGCAGAGGTGGGGATCCTCCCTTGAGCTCAAACTTGGAGCCTGTGATTAAAGTGGGTGGATCCTCGCAACCACAATTCAGAATGGACCAATCCCAAAAGCATAAAAAAACAACAACTCAGGGTGTGTACATCACACTTATTTCTTCCAGATGGGGACATAGTAGCCTTCCAGATGAATAAAAGCTGCACCCTGTGGTATTCAAACTGTGCCAACTCTTCTTCTGTCTCAGTACATTGTGTTCCGTCTTTCGTCGGCATCTTTGATGTTTGTCCCACATGTTTTGTACTGTGTGCATGATTTAAACCTGTCCAAACAGAATTTTGACAATGACTCAACATTGTTTAATGAATGGCTGATATTCAACAGATACATAAACGCAGCTTATAAAACCTAACAATGAAATGTTCATTTGCATGTTTTATATAGCTGCTTTGTTTTGTTTCTCTAAATAAATCAATCATATAGGGAGAAACTTTGGGACCAATTAGTTACTCTCTTAAAGAATTTTATTATTTCGAATAGAGGATTTGTAATTCTAACGATTGACAATCTGTATTTTATGGCTTTAAAGATCAGTAACTGTGTATCCTACACTTCACGCCAACCCATTTTTTCATAATCTTGATTAAAACATTAATATTTGACTACAGCATGTAGCAGTTACAGCACTGACTTTGTCATTAAGAACAAAAATACTCATGCTTGTTTGTTTGTGTTTTCCTAAGCCTTGGCTTCTACAGTAAACACAGTAACGCCTGTGTGTGCTCACCGTGTGCTCACCGTGTGCGGTCTCAGGTGTAAACGGTGGTGGCTGGACAAAAGGGGGGTGAGCGGGATCACACCCTGGGACAACATCCAGCTGCGGGGGGGGGGGGGGGGGGGGGGGTTCAGTGTGTTTGCCTATATGCCTTGATATCTCCGCTCCAGTTAGACCGACAATCACTTGTCTCATTATCCAGTGTGTGAATGCACGTGCGCCATGTCCACTCTACTGATAAGGTATCCACCACTTTGCATACACATTTTGTATGCGGGCAGTAAAATGTCCCTGCTCTTGGATCAGAGAAACTCCTCTATGATATGCGTCACACATTTTTTAATGAATCCATCCATCACACCGTTTCTGCACCAAA